TCAAAAGTCCATTGGAAAAATACAAATTGGAAGCAGAGCAAATAACCTCTAGAAACAACAGAGCTGGGATCAGGTGCCATGGAGGAGTAAGCATCCCCTGTTGACCAGTCACACCCGCCATGTGCTCATTGTCTTAATCAAACAAACAGAAATATCTGTAGACAATTCAACGTGAAAAAAAATGGCTTAAAATTTGTATGAAAAATGTCAGTCAACATTCAACTTAATTAATTAATTAATTGTGAAATGTTGACTTTAAGCAAGACTGTTGAAATCCTTGAATCATCATCTTATGTGTCAATAGCTTGCCTCATTTCAGAAATTGTTCTAAATAGAGCATGCTCTTGTGTATGGAATCAGCTAGAAGACATAAACTCCATATGCAGGTGATAATGGTTGCTACATAAATAAGGGAAATTGGTGATAGAAAAGTTGAAATCATCACGTTTATCTTAAAGTTTTATTGTTAGGTTGCCATTAATGTCTTTTTCTAGTAAAATATTCAAATATGAAACAAATGTGTCAAATTCTGTGGTGTCTTTTATGATAACAAGTGAAACATTTATAAAAAAAATTGTAGAAATTTGGAAGAAGCCAGATTTTTCTTTAAGCAATGATTGTTTTTCAGTCTGCAAACTCTCTCAAGTTGTGAATGAATTTCATATTAAGTATGTGTACCTGTGCAAAAATATTTCAATTCTGCAAATGTTGCACTTATCAAGGTCACACAACAGCATAGTTAAAAAGAAAACTATGAACAAGCATTTACATTTCTGATTTGCAGACAGTACATGGAAAAATGTGATTTCTGAATGCTCTCTAGTTGTATTGCTTTAAACTTTTTCATTGTAGGAGAGAAGAGATGCAGTTTACTCTGTTCAGCAGTCAATACCAGTGTGTACCATGAGTGGAGTGATAAAGTGATAGATGGCACTAGATGTGACAGTCTGTCAGATGATCAGTGTGTAGATGGAGCTTGTCAGGTAAATTATCCACTCAGAACCAATGAGATGGAAGCTTGTCAGATAAGTATCCACTCAGAACCAATGAGATAGAAGCTTGTCCGGTAAAGTAACCACTCAGAATCAATGAGATAGAAGCTTGTCAGGTAAAGTAACCACTCAGAACCAATGAGATAGAAACTTGTCAGATAAAGTAACCACTCAGAACCAATGAGATAGAAGCTTGTCAGGTAAAGTAACCACTCAGAACCAATGAGATAGAAGCTTGTCGGGTAAAGTAACCACTCAGAACCAATGAGATAGAAGCTTGTCGGGTAAAGTAACCACTCAGAACCAATGAGATAGAAGCTTGTCGGGTAAAGTATCTACTCAGAACCAATGAGAAAGAAGCTTGTCAGGTAAAGTAACCACTCAGAACCAATGAGATAGAAGCTTGTCGGGTAAAGTAACCACTCAGAACCAATGAGAAAGAAGCTTGTCGGGTAAAGTAACCACTCAGAACCAATTAGACTGATGCTTATCAGATGTGACTCATAACCTGTATGGATTGTATATACTTTAGTAGGTATGTTATCCACTCATAACCAGTGTGGATCAAGGTTATCAAGTATGTTAAGCACACATAAGCCAAGTGGACTTGTTAGAATGACAATATATCTAACCAGTGTGTATCGAGTTTGTCAGAAAGTGTGGATAGATCCTGTTGTTCTTTAAAATGATTATTGAGTGTAAATGGAGTTTCAATTTCTGAATTCAGTCATATAATCAATAAATGCAGAATTTGTCAAATGTTAATACAATTACAACAAGTGCAGATTGTACACTGTTAAGTCCAGTATTGAGGCTAAATCTAGTTGAGAATAAAATCAAAATAATTAAGGGCTAGTTGATCAGTTTATGTATAATTCTGTGCGTATCTCTGTCTGTAGCAAGCTGGTTGTGATAATGTACTGGGATCTCGAGCGAGAAGGGATGTATGTGGTGTGTGTAAAGGTGATGGAAATTCATGTAAACTCATCCGAGGATCATTCACTATTCCTCAGCTTTACTCAGGTACAACTACTGTGTTTAACTCTACACAATGATACAAGTAAATTTTTTATAAAAAGTGTGTATTTTACATGTGTGTAAAGTGTAGTTTATGTCTGTTTTAATATCAAAAGTAGTACAGTAAAATCTCTCTAATCTGACACCTGTACATCTATTTTACTGTGAATTCTGAAAAATTTCGTTCCCATTTTGCTGTTTTCGATGTTTTTTTTTACACTGTGCAATCTGACACCTGCCTATTTTGACATTAAATTTGTGTCCCAGTGCATGTGAGATTAAACAAGTTTCACATCAAATATTTTATTTAAATCTAATTAGGTGTGAAAGAAACCATTGAGAAATTTAGTCAGTCTAGAATTTTCTTGACATCATTTATTAAAAGAGCACAGTTTAATAGCTGTAAACAATGTTTTATTTTGTAGGTTACAATGAAGTCATCACTTTACCAAAAGGATCAACATCAATTTTGATAAAGGAGATGAAATTTAGTCCAAATTATTTAGGTGAGGTTTAAAAATACAGACGGAATTTAGAATAAATATTTTAAATTGTTAGCTTAACAGCATATTTCTGTCAATATTATACCCATACAAATCAGATTTTCTTGAATGAAGAATCAAAATATTTCAGTTTTGAAAAGTAGTGATGAAACATTTATATTAAATGGGCAACATCATGATGGCAAACCAGTTCTCGTCAACATTGGAGGAACCAGTTTATTGTATACACTGGAAGGATCAGGCCAGAACCTCTTGAAGAAATTAACAGGACAAGGCCCGACTAAAGGCAGCATACAGATCTATGTAAGATTGTGTAGCTTGGACAAACTCTTCATTGATTTGGTTACTTGATTAAGAATAATTATACAGATTTATTTTTGCACCTTTTTTTGATAGGAAACAAGCCCTGTAGTGGAAGGAACTTTAATGATCAATAAATGAAAATTTGATAAATAAATTGCAAATTCTAAACAGAAGAAAATGTTTTTATTTAAAACAGTGAAAATGTCACTAAAATGCTAAAGATGGTAGAACTTAGTTTTCTGTGTGTAGTTTATCAGATTTTTTATAGAAATATAGAAATTCAGGTTTAAAGTATTGCCGACAATTCTCTTTTTCTAAAGTTGATCCTTTTGCTTTAGATGATGGCTAAAGAAGAAAGGAATCCAGGGGTGTGGTATGAGTTATACATCCCTCTGTCTGGAAGAGAGCCTCGATTTGAACCCAGAATTTTGCCCATTAATAATGCACAAAACTTGCAGCAGGGACAGGCTGAACTAAGATCAGGCCGTATCGGAGAGTCCAGTTTTTCTTGGAATTTTGGTGGATGGACACAATGCTCCACCAAATGTGGAGATGGTATGATATACTCAAACACTCAATTTTACATTAATGCCCTCCAAATCTAACTATTTAAGATCAATAATGTACTGCCTGTCAATCTTTGAAAAAACAATAGCTACTGATTTCATTGACAGGTCAGCTACCTTAATGCAACCTGACAATATGAGTTTGCATGTTTTGAAAACAATTACCTGGTCAAGCGTCAACCACTTTTATGTACCACCTGAATAGTCACTTTGTATACACTCTGGTCAAGAAAAATCAAATCACTGTAATATTGATTGGTAATTATATTTCAAAAAATAATTGAGAACAGATAATCAAACCTTGACTACATGAATTATTTTTTTCAATCTCCATTTCTCTTTGGTACTTGTAAGCGATATGACGTCCAAGATAATTGTAGAACTTTCCAAAGAAAAACTAGCGGCTACTGTAAAATAACTTTTATTGGTGAGAGAGAAATATCCACAAGTTATTTTTCTCGTCACGAACCAATTATTCACCAGTGTATTTATGTAGAATGTTGCTTCGGTCACAAAAATAAGTAGTCGCGGAGGGTTTCTGAACTGAAGAATCATGAATAAAAGTTGTCGCGAATAATAATTGGTTTACATAATTTGATCCTTTTTCTCCTTCAATGACTGGGATTGGGATATGGAGAGGAAAGAAGAAGTTCATGTAATAGCTCAGACTGATAACTCTTCCAAGCTCTTATATTCAACCTGTGCCTGAAATTCAAGAAGGCATGGATTGCCTCTGTCGACCTTGCACAGAGTTCACAGAAACTCAGTTCCCCATTATGATAATTGGAAACAATAGACCCCCCCTCCCCCATCAATTAAATTTATAACAAAATGGAATAGAATAAATGAGAAAAGAATTGATTATTTAGGCCTAACATTAAAGACATGAATTACAAAAGATTCCCTTTTCACATGTTTCATATGTGGATATAGATGTTCTATTTCAACTAAAAAGCTACGATTACCTTCCATAATGTACATTTATTTGTAAAGGATCTGTTCCTGTAAATTTATAGATTGGTAACCATTATTCAAATTTTATTGAATCACTTGAAGTAAGCAATGCAGATTTACAGTATTATATACAGATTTTTGTTTGATAAAACATTTACTATAAAAAAAGAGAACAAAAATTTTATAAATGCATTTAATTGATATTTTAGGAATCAGGAAACGCCTGGTGGTGTGTACTAACAGACAGACAGGGGAGAGAAGTGCCCCCGAGAACTGTGACTCTGATCGCCCTGCTGACACAGAGGAATGTAAGGGTGACAACTGTGATCCGACTTCTCGGGATGAAAGAACTGTGTAGGTCAATAAATGGCTGCTTATCTCTCTTTGTTTACATATTTTCTCTTTGTAAAATTGAATGAATTTTTTAGGTTAGATAGAAAAGGTTTGAAAAAATGTATTAATATATGGCTATAGTTATCTTGCGATCCTGATGTCTTTATATTAGGTCCTGGAATAATTTGTTATATAATGACAAATTACTAGAATAATAGTAACGAGGAAAATTATTTGTACTTTATCAAATTTTGTGCAAAACTAATTATGGTAATATCATTTAGCCCTTGTATTGTTATCTAATTTACAGAAGTCTGTAATTGTAGGGAATGGAAGCTAGGTGCCTGGGGGCCTTGCTCTTCCTCCTGTGATATTGGGGACCAGATACAGTCTGTTCAGTGTGTCTCCAGGGATCCCCAGGGTCAGTCAGTACCTGTAGATGATAAACAGTGTATTCAGCTGTATGGACAGAAACCAGAGTACAGAAGGTCTTGTAATGAAAATGTTCCTTGTCCATACTGGACTGCAATGGACTGGTCCTCTGTAAGTGACAACATGACTGGGTTTTTTTTTCAATAGTCATTATTTCATGTCTTAAAGACTTTTAGCATACCTCATGAAGTTAAGATTAATTTTATAATTCATAAAAAATATGACATACTGTTTGTTGCTTGAAGCAATGCTCTGAAATTTATGGGGTGATGGTTTGTTTATAAGTAAAATAAGTCAGGTATTGGTCACAGAAGAGAACTATTGGTTTAAATGAATTTCCTCCAATTAAAAGACAGGCATATTATAGTTAAATTAGTTAAGTTTTCACCTACATGTGGTTTAAGTAGACTTAGGTGAGTATATTTTCATAGGCCTGTTTGCCTTCTTTGATCATGGTAGTCAAATATGCAAGGAAAGATTTTTTGAAATAGGGAAATCACAAAATGAAATGAAAATATTTCTATGAAGTTGATATCTGTAAGTGTGATGTTTCTCTACAGTGTAACAAAGCTTGTGGTATGGGAGAACAAACTCGCAAGGTGATGTGTATCAGTATAGACAACAGGAGACTAGCAGAGAGTGCTTGTGATCCTACAACAATGCCAACTCCCACCCGACCATGTATGGTCAAGCAGTGCCCTGTAAGCATAACATTCATTGATGTTCTGAATTACACCTTATAAAAGTACTGAAGACGGGTTATTTTAGTGCTCTGTAAGCATAACATTCATTGGTGTTTTGAATTACACCTTATAAAAGTACTGAATATCCTCAAACTTGCAAATGATTTTGCTCTGTTTTTCTCTGTTTTATTGCATTTGCCCCATACAGAATACTGTAAAAGTGGTTATTTACATGTGGGGAAAATTTACACTACTTACGCGGGAAGCTAAGAACCGTGTAAAATACCCCCTCGCGTATGGTCACAAAATTTCAAACTTCTGGAATCATTCTAAACCATTAATTATACTGTTTAGACCGGTCGAACCAGTCGTATATTACAAGTGGTATTGAACGCATGTGAGTAGATAAATACATAACAAACAGTGATGAAAACGTAAATGTTCTTTCTTTTATTTGTGCAATAAAAAAATGCATCTTCATATTAAATATTTTAAAGCAACGTCACGCAATTAAAGCTTCAAAACATCGATATTCATTTTCATTTCCTTTGTATGTACGTCCCTCTTAATTTCATATAATTAGTCCAAAATGTTACACAAACCCACAGTCACTACAAACATACCTATTGAATTAATTGTCAACACTAGCCACGCAGATACAGGTAAGTAGATCCCACTTTGAAGTTTGAGCTTGCGTAAATAATTACAATACAGCGTACACCAGTTGTTCACACTTCACCGCTTTTGACTGTGCAGATCGCCGTTATATTTAGCAATCCAACAGTATAAATTCTTTTTGTTTTGTTTGTTTGTAATTATTTCTAATTATATATTTTTTATCCATGCTTGTAAACTACTTGACCTTTTCAAAGGGGAACAACTCGATATTTTTAATGATGACCGCGTAATTTTTTCGCGGTAACTCGTGCGACCGCGTATATTACACCCACGTGTAATGTTTGATGGTCACAAACGCGTACTTAACCACCAGTGTAAATAACCACTTTTACAGTACACTCATTGACAATGAGGGTAAAAGGGGAGAGTAAAAAAGGGCGCCAAAGTTTCCCTGTATACTTTGCTTTAAAGAATCATGTTCAAGGAGGGAATATTATAACTATATATATTATACTAAAGTTTGTAAATAGTCTAAGTAAATAGAAGAAAGGAAATAAATTTAAAAGCCAAGTGAATGTGTCATTGATAATTTATTTTTATTTTAAAGAGTTTCTGAAACATTCTGTTTAAACTCCCTTTACTCCTAGGAAGGTCCCCTAGAAAACTGCAGAAATTCGCTGTTTGGATGTTGTCAGGATGGAAGGACACCTGCAAGAGGCCTGAATTTAGAGGGATGTGAAGGTACTTGCAAGGGTACAAGATATGGTTGCTGTCCAGACCAGAGAACCACAGCAAAAGGTCCAAATGGAGAAGGGTGTGTATTTGACTGTTCAAGATCCAGATATGGATGTTGTCCCAATAGTCAGAATCCTGCTAGAGGACCCAATGCAGAGGGTTGTTTTACTCACTGTTCTAGATATAGATATGGGTGTTGTCCAGATAATGTAACTGTAGCTAGAGGTCCTGATGGTGAGGGATGCCCCACTTCATGTTCTGACAGTAAATATGGGTGTTGTCCAGATGGAAAAACTGAAAAAAGAGGACCTAATGATGAAGGATGTTCCACTGATTGTTTGAGATATCCATATGGATGCTGTTCTGATAATTTAACTCCAGCAAGAGGTCCAAATGGAGAAGGATGTCCTGGCTCATGTACAGACAGTGTATATGGATGTTGTCCGGATGGTAGAACTGAAGCTAGAGGACCCAGTGGAGAAGGTTGTTCTATTGACTGTTCCAGATACAGATTTGGTTGTTGTCCTGACAGAATTACTCCTGCTAGAGGTCCAGATGGAGAGGGTTGTCCTAGCCCATGCAGTAAGTCCAAATATGGATGTTGTCCAGATGGAAGGACGGAGGCAGGAGGTACAAATGGGGAGGGATGTATACCAGACTGCTCCAGAAGAAAATTTGGTTGTTGTCCTGACAATATCACCTCTGCAAGAGGTCCAAACAAAGAGGGCTGTCCAAGTGAATGCTCTTCCTCTCAATTTGGTTGTTGTCCAGATGAAAGAACTGAAGCTAGAGGACCTAATGGAGAAGGTTGTCTAGCTGACTGTTCTCGCTATAGATATGGATGCTGTTCAGATAATGCTACTCCAGCAAGAGGTCCAAATGCTGAGGGTTGTCCAAGTAATTGTACATTGTCTCAGTATGGTTGCTGTCCAGACAGGGTCACAGAGGCTCAAGGGTTTAATTTTGAGGGTTGTCCCAGTGAATGTCAGAACAGCAGATATGGATGTTGTCCGGATGGTAGAACTGAAGCTAGAGGACCCAGTGGAGAAGGTTGTTCTATTGACTGTTCCAGATACAGATTTGGTTGTTGTTCGGACAGAGTTACTCCTGCTAGAGGTCCAGATGGAGAGGGCTGCCCTAACTCTTGCATTAATTCTACTTACGGATGTTGTCCAGATGGGAGGACAAAGGCAAGAGGTCCATATAGGGAGGGTTGTAATTTCGATTGTTCTAGATACCAGTATGGTTGTTGTCCAGACAATATAACTCCTGCAAGAGGCCCCAATAAAGAGGGTTGTCCCAGTAACTGCACAGTATCTCAGTATGGTTGCTGTCCAGACAGGGTCACAGAAGCTCAAGGGTTTAATTTTGAGGGTTGTCCCAGTGAATGTCAGAACAGCAGATATGGATGTTGTCCAGATGGTAGCACAGAAGCCAGAGGATCTAATGGAGAGGGATGTCCTTTTGACTGCTCACGGTATCCTTATGGATGCTGTCCTGATAAATCAACCCCTGCAAGAGGTTCAAATGGTGAAGGTTGTCCTGGCTCATGTGTAAATGGTAGATATGGATGTTGTCCGGATGGTAAAACTGAAGCTAGAGGACCCAATGGAGAAGGTTGTTCTATTGACTGTTCCAGATACAGATTTGGTTGTTGTTCGGACAAAATTACTCCTGCTAGAGGTCCAGATGGAGAGGGCTGTCCTAACTCTTGTAGTAATTCTACTTATGGATGTTGTCCAGATGGGAGGACAAAGGCAAGAGGTCCAAATAGGGAGGGTTGTAATTTTGATTGTTCTAGATACCAGTATGGTTGTTGTCCAGACAATATGACTCCTGCAAGAGGCCCCAATAAAGAGGGCTGTCCCAGTAACTGCACAGTATCTCAGTTTGGTTGTTGTCCAGATCAGATGACTGAAGCACAGGGATATAACATGGAAGGTTGCCCTAATGCTTGCCTAAGGAGCAGATTTGGATGCTGTCCAGATGGAGTAAGAGAAGCCAGGGGACCAAATGCAGAAGGATGTTCTTTGTCCTGTGAAGAAACAAGATTTGGATGTTGTCCTGATAATCAGACTCCAGCAAGAGGACCCAGTGGAGAAGGATGCTATACTGAATGTTCAAGATATCCTTATGGATGTTGTTTTGATAAAGTTACACCTGCAAGAGGCCCAAATGGGGAAGGATGTTTAAGTAACTGTGCTGAGTCTCAGTATGGATGCTGCTCAGATGGAAGAACTGAAGCAAAAGGTCCAAATAGGGAGGGTTGTTTTACAGATTGTGCAAGATACAGATATGGATGTTGTTCAGATAATGTCACTCCTGCAAGAGGTCCAAATAATGAAGGATGTCCAAGTAACTGTACTTTGTCTAAATATGGATGTTGTCCAGATCAAGTGAATGGGGCTCAGGGATATAATTATGAAGGATGTCCACCAGAGTGTTTGCAATCTAGATATGGATGCTGTCAAGATAATAAAACAAGAGCCAGAGGTCCTAATGGAGAGGGGTGCTCTGATGATTGTTCCAGATACAGATTTGGATGTTGTTCAGATAATATAACTCCTGCTAGAGGTCCAGATGGTGAGGGCTGCCCAAGTTCTTGTACTACCTCAAGGTTTGGATGTTGTGCAGATGGTCAGACAGAATCCAGAGGTCCAAATAGAGAAGGATGTCCAACTAATTGTTCAACAACTCAGTATGGTTGTTGCCTGGATGGCAAAACTGTAGCTAGGGGTCCAGATGGTGAGGGATGCTTCAATGAATGTTCAAGGACAAAATATGGGTGTTGTTCTGATAATCAAACTACAGCTCAAGGTCCAAATGGAGAGGGTTGTGCTTTTGATTGCTCAAGATATAGATTTGGTTGTTGTCCAAAGAGTCAGAATCCTGCGAGAGGACCCAATGGAGAGGGTTGTTCTATTCACTGTTCCAGATATAGGTTTGGGTGTTGTGCAGATAATGTAACTATAGCAAGGGGTCCTAATGGTGAGGGCTGTCAGTTTGATTGCTCTAGATCTGAGTTTGGTTGTTGTGAAGATGGCAGAACTACAGCAAGGGGTCCAAATAGAGAAGGGTGTTCTTATGAATGTGCAAGAACTCAATATGGATGTTGCTCTGACCAAAAAACTCCTGCCAGAGGCCCTAGACAAGAGGGTTGTCCATCAAAATGTAGAAATTCAATATTTGGATGTTGTTCTGATGGGTTTACAGAAGCTAAAGGTCCAAATGGTGAAGGGTGTGTATCTGACTGTGAGAGAAGAACTTATGGATGTTGTGCAGATAACAAAACTCCTGCACGAGGCCCTAATGGGGAAGGTTGTCCTAGGGTTTGTGAATTAGCAAGGTATGGATGTTGTCCGAACAGTAACATTTCAGCAACAGGACCCAATAACTCAGGTTGTCCATACACATGTTACAACAGTTTGTATGGATGTTGTTCTGACAACTATACAGCTGCAAGAGGCCCTAATAAGGAGGGTTGTCCAACAATTTGCAAGTTGTCTAGATTTGGTTGCTGTCCTAATAGTAACATTTCAGCAACAGGACCCAATAACTCAGGTTGTCCATACACATGTTACAACAGTTTGTATGGATGTTGTTCTGACAACTATACAGCTGCAAGAGGCCCTAATAAGGAGGGTTGTCCAACAATTTGCAAGTTGTCTAGATTTGGTTGCTGTCCTAACAGTAACATTTCAGCAACAGGGCCCAATTACTCTGGTTGTCCATACACATGCTACAACAGTTTGTATGGATGTTGTTCTGACAACTACACAGCAGCTAGGGGTCCAGATAAAGAAGGTTGTCCTAGCCCTTGTGATGAGTATCCCTTTGGATGTTGTCAAGATGGCAGAACACCAGCTGAGGGACCAAGGAAGGAAGGTTGTCCAACAACAAATACAAACTCTGGTAGGTGTGATTGATTACATTATTTTTTTTTTATTTTTAAGGTTTGAAAGGAATAGCATATCTCTAAGTGCATGTTCATTACAAAGTTTGTCCAGGTCACATCTTTTGGATAGAGAATCAAGTTTATAATATGTTATTCAAAAACCTAACTTGACAGAAGGATGTGCCTTCAGTCAAAAAGTTGGAAAATATATAAATGATGTTCATATTTCTTCATAAGTTACTACTAGCTCAGACCTAAGAAACCGCAGGAGAAGACTATAATTTGTTGAATTATCCTTTTCTCTACAGTGTTGTTTTGCACAGCTTGTGCAGTGTGGCCAGGGTTGGATCTAAAGGTGAATTGATTTGACATGAAATATTCTGGAATAGCTTGTCAAAAAGAACAACCATTTTCATTTTTGTGTATGTTTTCCAGAATCAAAGTAGTTCTAACCATGGCATCCAATAGAATGAGGCCACAAAGGAATACAAAATTTCTGATTTTTTTTAAAAAAAGCAAACCTTTAAATCTCTCTTTGGAAGAACAAGACATAAACTACAGTAGCTGAATTTTAATTAATAAAATCTTCCTGTCCCTTCTTTGGACCAGTGGTAGAGGTCCTCTTAGCTTATTTGTATCTTGCAATCTTGAAAAGAGAGATGAAAATTAGAATGTGTACCACCACAATTGTCCATATATATTACTCAGATCTTGATTTCCATAGTGAAATGCATCTTGGTTGGGTGTAATGGAGAGAATTATGTAAGAGCAATACCAGATAACCAATCTGGCCCAAGGACTTGTATGCACATTAAGTTATAGAAAGCATATGATTAAAGTGAATACCTACAAACAACAGCATTCTTTTTTCCCCGTGTATAATACTAAATGATTAAATATTAAACGATCACAAGAAATAACAGAGCACAGTAATTTTGGTTGTTTCAGGAGGACTGCTATGATACAGTGATGTACTAATATGAGAATTAGTTCATTGCAGAAAGGCACCTGAATTTCAAAGATCTAAAAGAATTCAAGTTTCAAATTAGTCTTTCTTTGACATCTTTATTTTTGAAGCAAAAGGACATAAATTTGATTTGGTAAATATTGTTCAGAAGAAGTTCAAATATTTTCATATAAAGACAGTCGAATACTTTTTGGGTGTTGTATATAACAGAGAATGAATTTAGGAAAATAGAATCAAATAAAAATGCAATGAAAATTGTTCTAATTCTTGGACCCCCCTATAAGTAAAGATAAAATGAAGTCATAAATTGTTCAAAGACAGTAAGCAGATAATCAGAAATTACAGTTTTATACCAAAGTTACATTATTATGTCAGAACCAGGAATCAAAGATGTTGTTTTAGAGGGAAGCAATGCTCTTATTTAAGTGCTTTGAATTGACATGAAAAGGATAGATTTTAGGAAATAAAAATTTAATGAGACAGAATAAGTGTGGAAGTTTTTTCAGTATTCAATCAAATCCATTGATGCTGCACATATGTTGATTTTAAGAACATAATTGCATGGTAATATAATAAATTTGAAGAATGACTTCATTCTTCATTGAAACTTTAAGGAGAAGTGCTTTTGGTGTGCAGTTCGCAGAAAGTAGGAAACTTCTTTGTGTATACTTTGTTTTCTGGCCTTGGTAAATAAGGGGAATGTTTTTAACCATATTTTGTTTGCAAAACATTTGTCAGACCTATAAAATAAGATTTTTAGGGGATTACTGTGTGACAAAGGCCATACTTCTGTTGTTGTCTGTGATTTAATTGTTTAGACATTCATTGCTTCTGCAAGGGGCTCTTTTTCAAGATGAATATGTGCAAGAAAGATATTAAAATAACAACATGTTGAAACATTGATGACTATTAATGCTCAAAGGAATCTCAGTGGGCTGCTTAATTAACTAAATAGACATGAAAAGAATTAAGTTTTTTATCATTGATTAGCAGAGTATTTAGTTGCGGTGGGTTTTTTTTCAAACACTTGTATTATGTCGATGTTCATATCTCTTTTATAGTCCATTAACATAATAAATCTGTGATGGAATTTAATCTAGCTTGAATATTACTCACTACAAAATCTGAGCCAAATTGTAGAGCATTTAAGGTTTTTTTGTAGGTAAAATATGACTGCAATTTCATATTTATATGTGTCATGGAGGCAGTCTTAATGAGGTATCAGTGTTATATGATACAGCTTCTGTATATATAGATTCTAGCCCAATGTCATGATAACAGAGGTTTAACTTAGTCTTATTTGATTTGCTCTAGATGCCATTTCGTGACACCCCAATATTTCAACAGAGAAAAAAGTGTTTGAATTTCAGTTTTATACGGATCTTCAGGTTAACATTTCACAGTATGTGGCACGTCGTTTGAGACCTTGATCTTGATACATCATCTTTTTGCATGGTTTTGTTCCCAGTCTCAAATGAGCTATGTAACTGCTTAATCACACCTGTATTGTGTGTGATTTTTAGTATTCTTGTTTACTGGTTGTCTGAATGATCATAATGGGTTGTTTTTCATCTATGTAGAATGCCAAGATTTGTCACCCAGCATCGTCTAGTTGTCGTTGTTTCTTGCATCATTGAAAAAAAATTGTGAAGTTGCCAAAAAAAGCCTTTCTTTCTTTCCAATCTTTTGAACCAGTACTTCAGCTCTCAGAGTGTCAGGATTTGGAAAAGGTATTTAAAGATTGATTTTCATTGTCTTTGAATGTTAGTTTTTATATGCCCCCATAATTGAAGATTTAGGAGCCTGTAGTTTTTGCTCTGTTTGTCTGCCTGTCTGTCTGTTTATCTGTTTGTTTGTTTGTCCACAAAAAACTTTAACCTTGCCCAAACTTTTGATTGGTTGGAGCTATGGCTTTCATTTTCACATGTGAATTCCTTGTGACAACTTTGAGTACCAACATATTTGACCGCTTGACCTTGACCTTGGAGATTGACCTTCTTTGAAAAACCTTTAACCTTGGCCATAACTTATGAACAATTGGTTCTAGGGCTTTCATATTTCACAGGTGTATTCCTTGTGACAAGACCTTTCTTTGGGTAACAACATTTTTGATCTCTTTGACTTTGGAGTTTGACTTGCATTTGAAAAATTTGGGCCTTCACTATGAGCTGCCAAATGGGAGCATCAGTGTTTCACACACCATATTGTCCTTCAAAGATACAGATGTATGAATTGTTTTAATTTTTGGGACTAAAACTGAGTTTTGATTTTTTTTTTTTTTGGTTGAGGTCATTTTGCATGGTGTTGCTTTTGAAATATTAGAGGACTTTTCATTTACTGTGTGTGCTTGTATTAAAATTTTAGCTGAAAGGAAACATCCATAAACTTGCTCCTTTAAAAATCAATGCTTACTGACCTGAAGTTAATTTTTAAAGAGGCATGAAATTATTGTTGAAAAAGAAAATTTTCATCTTAAGATACAACACAAGTTGATCATTCATCAGATATTGTCTGAAATGGTGATAAGAACAGAGAAACTGGAGCAGATTAGAAATATGATAATTCAAAGACTTTATTGTAAATATTGTAAGCAGATCCTCCAAAGAAGAAAGAGTGACATTAATCGTGCCAGCGATAGGAAAAGTAGACAGAATCGTCACCCAAATTGGTGAAGCACAAACATTACAAATGTAAAAGTCAGAATAAAATTTAAAGTGCATTTGTCTGCACATTTATATTTGTATATTAGCATAACAACAAAATTCTTTGTGTTAATATGAATTGAGTTGATGCAGAACTTGAGGAAAATTTATTGGAAAGTCAAAAAAGAATAAAAAAAAAAAATGATAGGAAGATAACATTATGTATGTTCATAAATTGAAAATACTTTTTATAAAACACAAAAGAGAGGAATTCTAGAAGGTGTGTTTATATAGATTTGAAAATTATGTAATGGTCAACAATGAAACACATATAAATTAAGTACTTAAAAATTGTGTATTGTGATTATTATCAGATATGTAGATAAATAAAAATGTCAGTACATTTCAAATTTACACATAAAATACATTTTGTGCACACCTGAACATGCAGTCCATGCTTTGAAATACAGGTAAAATTTGGAAAGAAGACAAAATACCTGGGTTGTCTCTGTTTGTGATAAAGAATAAAAAAAGGTCCAATAGGTTTAAAAATTACCTGTCAATTTTTACAAACTTCAAAGTAATGATTCACCTAAGTATGAAAACAATATGCATGATAAACATTCAGCAACAAAATCTTTATGGGGGCTGAGTGTTGAACAAAGGCATAATTTTTGTAGAGAGAGGGAGAGAGAGAGACTCGTAAACTATGAAATGATATTGTCAGAATTTTAAATTGCTTCATTCAGCCCTTCAGCACCCTAGAAGTTGTAGATCATGAGTGGTACAGACAACTTTAATTAAGTATTAGTGATGTCATGTTCTGTTAAGGTTTTTTTTTTCATGCTTATAAGATATGGTGTAATACTGCAGTGTCAGGTATCAGCACTGTGATATTATCCTTTGTGTTGTTTTGATGTGTTCGTTTGGGATGCCTATGAAGACTGTCAATCACCCACGTTTTTAACATGGTGTTTGGAATCAACTACCACGAAAAATTCTTCACTGTGTTTTGATGCATCAGTTGCTGTACAATGTAAGTAGGGGACAAAAAACAAACAGAATGAGGGATCGTTTGTCTTTGCGGAGAAATTACTTTTGATTTCACGTCAGTGGTTATAATGGATTGAACGTGGCACAAGTTTCTTATTTAAGAAGCATGGAGTGGGAAATAATGCCTAATAAATTATTTGTTTGTGTTTAAGACAAGAGCATTTTTTATGTTGATACATTTGCCATGGAAACTTTATTTGACTGTTGGAAAATCTTTCATTTGAATATCCTGTGAATAATCATGAGGTTCCAAAAATCACTGTGTGCTTTACTAATGTGCTTGTGCCTTGTGTTGGAAAGTCCAGAAGCTATACAAAGGAAAAGGAGACGTCATAGGCACAAAAAACCTGTGTTT